TTCTTCCTTGACGCCAATCAGTCTTATATTATTCTTCTTTGTATCGTCTAGCAGCTGCTGGATTGATTTCTTGTTGTCCTTTACAATTTTAAAGCAATTTTTCTTTTCCTGGTCACTAATTGCAATCTTATCTTCTATATCTGAAATTCTATCCTCACACTGGCTCATTCTGCTGGGTAGACTTTCAGTGGAGTTTTTAATCTCTTGGAAATCTGAAATTAATCTCTTTGCATCTGTTTTATAGATTCCATTTGTTTCCTATGTTGGGATTCCATCGTGTTCCTGAGTTCCTCTCTAGATTTATTAATCATGTCTTGCACTATGAGCACAGTCTCTCCTGTTATCTGGGAAATTATTTCTGGTTTCATTTTTTCCAGATCTTCTTTTGTTGCCAGTTCAGGTTCTCCAGGTGGTTGAGTATCAGGGTGTTCCATCTCATTTCACTTTGGGGGTTGCTGTAGGTGATCTGGAAGTCTGGTTTTGTGACTTTTTTACGTGTCTTCTCATTTCGACCCGGAAGGGGGCGTGCTGCTGCTGGCGCCGGCACAGCTCACCTCCTGTGTGCTGGCGGGGTTGGTATGGCGGCCAGGAAGCCTCCTCTTGTGCGCTGCGAGTGGATTACCTCCTGTGTGCTCGAAGCGTTCCATATTTTTTTAAAAAAGAAAAGAGGCCCAAGTGCTAAGAAACTGGAGATGCCTGCTGGCCAATTGCCAACAGGGAGCTAAAGCACTCAGTGGTATAGCTGCAGGGAACTTGGTTTTGCTAACAACCTCAGAGCAACCTTTGGAACAGATCCTTCCATAACTGAGTCTGCCTGCCTGCCATCTGTCTGTCCTGTCCTTCTGTCCTTCCTTCTCTCCCTTTGTCCTTCCCTCCCCTCCTTCACAGTACTGGGATTGAACTCAGGTCTTCACACTGAGCTACATTCTCAGCCCTTTTTGTTTTTCTTATTTTGAAACAAGGTCTCCATAAATTGCTAAATTCCCCTAGCTGGGCTCAAATGTGTGATCCTTCTGCCTCAGCCTCCCAGAGTACTGGGATTACAGCTATGCACCACCACATCTGACTCTTTTTTTAAATTTTGAAACTGATTCTAAGTTGCTAAATTGTCCAGACTAGGCTTAAACTTGCAATCTTCCTGATTTAGCCTCCCAGGCATGTGCCACCACACCAGGCTTCAATGTCAAATCTTTTTTTTCTTTTTTTTCTTTGTTTTATGTACACAGGGATTGAACTCAGCTATTTCCACTTGCAAGGCAGGAAGTGGAACCACTAAGCTAAATCCCTGGCCCTTCAATGTCAAATCTTACTACAAAGCAATAGTATGATACTGACATAAGGATCGGCACACAAAACAATGGAATAGCACTGAGATTCCAGAAATAAGCCAACATAGTGGTCAATTGACTTTGGCAACAAGAGTCTCTTCAACTGGATACCATACAGAATAGAATGAATTCACCGCCTGCCTTGCAAGCACAAGGACTCAAGTTCGATCCCCGGTACCAAAAAAACCCACAACAGAATAGAATGAAATAGGGCTGAGGATTTAGCTCAGTGGCACCGTGCCTGCCTCATAAGTGCAAGGTCCTGAGTTCGATCCCTGGTACTGAAGAAAAAAAAAAGAATAGAATGAAGTTAGATCCTTACTTCAAAGAAAACATAGAAGTTAATCTTCATGACTTTTAATTTAACAGTGGCTTCCTGGATATGACACCCAAAGCATAAATAACAAAAGAAGTGGGTGATTGGCCTTGCTTGGTCAAAAGTAATAATGTTGCTGGGTGTGGTGGTGCATGCCTCTAATCCTAGTACTTGGGATGCTGAAGCAGGAGGATTGTGGAAAGTTCAAGGCTAGCCTGGACTACATAGGGAGTTCGAGGGTAGCCTGAGCTATATATATAGCAAGACCCCGTCTCAAAAAAACAAACAAAAAGCCAAAAAAAAAAAAAAAAGTAAAAATGTTTATGCCTCAGAGGGCAACATCAAAATAATGGAAAGGCAATCCACTGAATGAGAGAAAATATTTTAAAATCATATGTTTGATTCCAGATTCCAAGATATGTGTATATATAAGGAACTCCTGCAACTTAACAACAAAAAGATGATCCAATTTAAAATTGGAAGCTGGCTGCAGTGGCTCACTGAGTCTGAGGCTGGAGAATCAAAAGTTTGAGCCCCACCTGGGAAATTTCTCAAGATTGTCTCAAAAGTTAAAAAAAAAAAAAGTACTGGATGAGGGAACTGGGGTTGTAAAGGTCCCGGGTTCAATCTCTAGTACAAAAAAAATGTATTTCTTTATGATTGTTCCTAGCCTAGCACTATTCACAATGGTCAAAAAGTGGAAACAGGGCTGGGGATGTCAGTCAGTAGTAGAGCACTTCCCAAGCATGTAAGAGCCCTGTGTCTGATCCCCAGCACCAAAGAAAACAAAGATAATCCTTATTAATCTGATGAATGAATGACTAAGCAAAGCACAGCAAACACATACAGTAGAATATTCTTCAGCCATACAAAGGAATGGAGTTCTGATGCATGCTTCAGTATAGGGGAACTTGGGCCGGGGATTTAGCTCAGTGGTTCCGCCCCCTGCCTCACAAGGGGAAGGACCCGAGTTCAATACCCAGTACCAAAAAAAAAAAAAAAAAAAAAATAGGGGAACTTCAAAAACATTATCCTTAGGAAAAAGTAGTTTGTGAAGGTCATAGGATTCCCTTTATATACAATCCAGATGTGGTAGTGAATGCCTTCCATCCCAGCACTCAGGAAGCAGGCTGAAGTAGGAAGATCACCTTTTCAATCCAGCCCGGGCTACATAGCAAGACCCAGCCTCAAAATCATGAATGAATGAATGAATGAATGAATGATAGGATAGATAATCAGATAATTCAGAGGCAGAAAACAGATTAGTGGTTGTCAGAGGCCAGGTGGGCGGGTGATGAGTATGGAGGTTTCTTTTTAGGACAGGGGCAGTATCTTGGAATTAGACAAAAGTGCTGGTTGCACAAGTTCACTTTGACAAATGTCAGTGAATTGTTCACTTTAGAATGGTTCACTTTTGGTAATGAGTTTTTTTGGTACCAGGGATCAAACTCAGGACCTTGCACTTGTCAGGCAGGCACGTTGCCACTGAGCTAAATCCCTAGGCCTACTTTTAGTACTATGAATTTTAGCTAAAAGGGGTCAAAAGGGGAAAGCAAGTTACCTTTTTAACCCGTGCTAGGAATTGAACCCAACACTAAGCACATACTAAGTTGTGCTATGCACTTGACTACACCATCAGCCCCATGAGCCATTACAGAACTTCAACAGTGCCAAGTGTTCAATTAAAAAATCCTGTGAGGATTGCTCCATACCTGACCAGACCTCAAAATGCTCTTCTTCTTTTGGAGACAGGGTCATGCTGTGTGGCTCAGGCTGGCCTCCAATCTGCAGTGATATTCCTGCCTCAGTCTCCTAAGTGCTGGGGTTCCAAGCGTGCACCACCAAACCCAGCTTTCAAACTGAATTATGATGTATTATATAGACACTCAACAAATATTGACAGGAAGTACACAGACTTTAAGTCTGATTGCAGAAAACCAATCAACCTCACAGACGTCAGTGGTCTTGTGTAAGTAAGATGAAGCGGCAGCTCAGTATTTATCGCAGTACTGGGGATGGAACCTAGGCCTTTGCACTGACCTATATTCCCAGGCTTCCCCTTCCTCAATCTTTCTAAGATTCTGAGATGGTCTTGCTAACTCACTAAATTGTCCAGGCTGAGCTCTTAAACTTAGTCTTCCTGCCTCGGCCTCCCAGAGTGCTGGTATTATAGGCTTGCACCACCACACCCAGCTGAGCAATTAATTTTCCATTACCGTATTGCAGATTCCTTCAGCGTCAGTGGAAAACCACCCCCTTCGTCTTTTAAAGGTGCATTTCTGCCTACCTTTGTGGTGCCTGGACAGAGCAGTGTCTCATGGGTAGGGCTGGGGTGCCTGACCCTAGTGGGCCTTCCCACCACCTTCCAGGTGGGCCAGGTGAACGAGGGTGGAGCACAGGAAGCCCCTCAACTCAGCCAAGAAGGCCAGCCCCACAGCCAGACTAACTTATCCATTAAGAGCATTCCTCAAACCTTGTAGTTTTGTTTTTAGTACCAGAGATTGAAGTCGGGACCTTGTGCTTGTGAGGCAGGAGGCAGCTGAGGTGCCACTGAACTAAATCCCTGGCCCTCCTTGTTTTGTTGACATAGGGTCTCACTAGGTAGTCCAGGCTGCCCTCAAACTCCCAGCAGTTCTCCTGCCTTAGCCTCCCAGTGCCAGGATGACACATGCGTCACCATGTCCTGGCAACATTTTTGCAATCCAGGTAGTCATTACCCATCTTGGGAAATAAAGACCCATTTAACTCCAAGTATAGGAATAAAATAATTCATGTAGTTTCACAGGGAGGGGATGGTAGAAAACTCACTGAAATTTAGAGCAATTAAATAAGCCAGGGATTTTTTCCTCAAAGGTAGTGTTTGAACCCAGGGCCTTTGCTTTTGACTACATGCCGAGCCTTTTTAAAATTTTGAGTCACCAAGTTGCTCAATTTGGGCTCGATTCTGTGGTGTGTTCCTCCTCCTTCAGCTTCCCATAATGCAGAGATCACAGACATGTGACATCATACCATGCTGTTCAATCTTTTCCACCCTGCATACATTCAATGCTGAAAACATCTTTCACTTTTGCTTTAGGAGAAAATGCTTTGGGCTGAGTGTGGTTTAATAGTAGAGCACTTATCATGCATGAGGTCCTGGGTTCAATCCCTAGCACAGAACAATGAAAAAAGGTCCTCAAAGAGCAAGTTGAACCTGTAATTAGGCCACGTTTTTTGTTTTTTGACAAGGTCTCACTGCATGTAGTTCAGGCTTCAGCCTCCCAAGTGCTGAGTTTATAGGTATGGGCCACCATTCTGCTCCCTAGGCCCCATGTAAGCAACAGTAAGGAAAGATGAGCAGAAATGATTCAGAGGCATTTTATTGCTTATCAAGGCATTTATTTCACTGTTTAGTTCTAGCATTAACTTTTCCATAAATGTTCATCTTGTACCTCCACAAAGTTCCTTCAGAACAGTGCCTGTATCTTAGGATATTATGACAAACTAGCACCTGGTATACAGTAGATGCTCATCAAATATTCCATTGTGTCTTCTAATCATTTCCCCTTGGCCAATGTTTCCTGGCACACAAGACGTACACGCTTCACAGGTTTACAGGAAAACAGACTCAGCAGTCTCACTTCAAAAGGGAAGATCATCCAGTTCTTCTGATTGTATGATAATGTAATGGTAATGTGCTACCTTCAAAACATGCCAGTCTGCCTTTCTAGAAGTGTTTATCTAAAACACGTTTACTTAATTATAGATGGTTTCTAGCTATGCAAAATTTAGTTTTTCCATCTATGAGTGACATCTGGTTTTCTTTTTAAATGAAATTTAAGATTAACTCAATTGAAAGGAAAAAAAAAAAAACAACCTGAAATAATGTGAGGTGGAACACAAATGAGTTAAAACCTAAAAATGCTGGACGGGGGATTTAGCTCAGTGGTTCTGCTGCCTGCCTCACAAACGAAAGGTCCCGAGTTCCGATCCCTGGTACCAAAACAAAACCAAACCTAAAAATGCTGGTCACAATGGCACATGCCTTTAATCCCAGCTACTCCAAAGGCTCAGGCAAAAGGATCCCAAGTTTGAGCCCAGCCTGGGTAATTTAGCAACTTAGTATGACCCTATCTCAAAATAGAAAATAAGAGGTCTGGATATGTAGCTCAGTGGGAAGTCCCTGAGCTCAATCCTTAGTACTAGGGGTAGAGAGACTGAAGATGGAGCTCAGTGCTCTCTGGGTTCAATCCCCAGAACAAAAAAACCAAAAAAGATTCACAGAGGACTGATGATTGGGAAACAAAGCCCTAGGTAAAGTATCCTCATCCTTGAGGGTCAAGCAGGTGCTTCTATAATGGTGTGGGTCTGTCGGATGCATCATATATTATAGACCTCACTGCTGTTGCATAACCAACATCCCATGTCAACAAGACACCACACTGCAATGTGCACCCTACAAAAGCAGAGGCCCCAAAAGCCAAAGCCAAAGCCTGAAACTTAAGCCTAGCCTGGGCAACTTAACAAGACCCTTTCTCAAAATAAAAAAGGGCTGGGAATGTAGCTCAGTGCAAAAGGCCTGGGTCCAATCCCTAGTACTAAAGGGGGGGGGAAAAGCAGAGGCCAAAGTAAGTGCCTTAGGGGGAAAAAAAAAAATTCCTCAAGCAAGATATATTCTTAATGTTCAATTGCTCCCAATCAATAAGAAAAATTAAAGGGAAAAACAAAGGCAGAATCCAGCCAGTGGCTGTATGTAACAAGCCAAGTATCAAGATCTAATTAGTCAAATTTTGTTACTCCAACTGTTGTCTAAAAGGACATCACTGCTGCTTGGGAGGAATGTACAATCTCTGTAACCTTCAAGCTGAGGTGAGAAGCTATGCAACTGTGTAAGAGAAGCTTGTGAGGGAGATGGCTGAATCTCTTCACCAGAATTAGTTTACAGCATATTCCAGCAACACACCCTAGTACTGCTTATAAACCAAAGAAAGAGCAACATGTTATCTAACACATCCCTTGAAACAGGGAAGGAGGATCATTCTGTGGGAATATCATCTTTGGACTCTGCATCTGTTTGTCCCACTTCAGCTTCCATGGCAGCTGGGACAGGAGCTTCAGCTGTGGCATTTTCTGGCCCTGCTGCCAGTGTTATGGCCTCACTTCCGGCCTCAGCTTCAGGGTTCTCCTTCTCACATGATGTTCCACAGGAGGCATTCTCTTCCAGTGGCTGGTCAATGTGCAGCTCACTGCTGGTCCCCGCCATGTCCATCAGGCTTTCCCCTTGGGCTGGATCTTCACTGCTCTCTCCAGCCGTGGCTCCTTCTCCATCTACAGCCCTCACTGCTGCTGTAATCACCTCTGCTAAGACTTCTGCAGCCACCTCCTCAGGTGTCTCTTCCTTACCCTCACTTCCTAAATTGTCATCTCCTTCTATTTCAGGATCAACTGTTTCATTGGTGAAAGGATCCTCACCCTGGATAAAGAAGAAACAGATCAGTACAAGAAACGGGAGCTTAAAGAGGTGAGGGCTCACATATTTATGACTGGTGGAGTCCACCACAGAAACAAACCACAGCCCATGAGCTAATCCTACACATTCTCAGAGGCTACAGATCCAAAAAAGACATTTCAGAAAAGCTTCACCAGAACTATTTTGCACCCACCCAACACACACTTTGTGGTGCTGGAGATGGAACCCAGGGCCTTGTACATGCTAGGCAAGCGTTCTACCACCGAACCACACTGAAGCTCCTCAAAAGACTATTTTGTATTTTAGTTTCATTGAAGCTCATGACTCCAACAAGAAAATTGTTTCTATTTAATGGATAAAGACTCAAATAAAGATCAGTAACTTGCTTGAGGTCAAAATTATTAAACATCAGAGTGAAAATTCAACACCAAGTCTGACTCCTTCAGATACCAAACTTATACGCTAAGATTTTCTCTAGACTGGAAGCAAACTACAGTAAGATCAGGAAACGTATTTTAAAATATAGTGCTTAGCCTGGGGGCTGTAGCTTGGTCACAGACTGTGTACTTAGGATGTACAAGGCCCTAGATTCAAGCCTCTTTCCTTAACACTTAGCATCTACCTTGGAATTCTTTTTTTTCTTTTCTTTTGGACAGTCTCACTGTGTAGGCTCAGGCTGGTCTTGGCAATTCTCCTGTTTCAGCCTGAGTAGCTGGGACTGCAGGCACGTGCTACATCTGGCTTGAACTGTTTATAAAAAGCATCTCACTATCATTTGCACAGTGTATTACAGCCAGACAACCAAGGTTTCTCGTGGTGAGTCAGCACCATTGATAGTGATTCATCAAGCAGTATCCATCTCCAGACTTCCCAGGCAAGCACTGAGTCTTAGGAAACCCCCCGTTGTCACACATCTTTGCCTTATACGTTGCAATGTCCCTCAATTCTTCAAGGGACTTGGAAATACTACACACTGCTCCAGATGCAATCCCATACTCATCCTCCATTTCAAGAGTTTGTCCTGTCCTTTGGATTCCCAAACACAAACCTTAAGGTATTTTTCCAGCATCTTCACTATGTGTCTGTTATTCAGAACACTCTTAGCTACATGGAGACTTGTTTTCTTGAACTGTTCAGCAGCCAACTGCAGAGGGAACCAAACATGGGCTTTTAAGAATGGCAGAGGAGCAAGAGAACAAAGCACCTAGAATTTACTGAGTTGTCTCCAGTGGCAGCACCATCCCTCACTGAGGCAAAGCTTGAAATGCCAGGCTCCAAGAATGACAGAAAGAAGGCGCCAAACAGCCTTTTAGAGGTAGATGATACAAAATGGAAAGCTTGATAATCTATTAAAATAAATGCTTAGACCAGTGATAACCATGTGCCATGTGCAGAAGCAAAACATTTAAACTATATGGGCAAGGCTTTTCATTTTTTGGGCTGTGTTGCCTTCCAATCATTTTAGTTAAGTATGAATATATCACCCAAGCTGCTGTACGAGAGCTTGCACATGCATACATTAATCCCTTGCTTGTAGTTTTTTGTTATCTAGCACTGGGAGATGGGGGGCAACTATTGATATCCCTGTGTATTAGTTGGGAAAACTAAAGATAGATGTCTGACCCAGGGGTCTGTAAGCGACTGCCAGCAGACCAAGCGCAGCCACATCCACTCTATCATCCGTGGCTGCTTTAGTTTATCACTGGACAGTTCCCAGGGCCTGCACAGAGTACAGTCACCCTTTGTTGTCTCTCCTGAGGACTGACTCTAGGACCCTCGGAGATAGAAAATCCAGACACTTGAACCCCTTACATCAAATGGCATAGGTTTTTCTATCTTTCTTTCTCTCTTTTGTTTTTGAGATAGGATCTCTATGTAGTCTAGGCTAGCCTCAAACTCATGATCTTTCTGCTTAGTCTTACAAGTGGTAGGATTACAGCTATGTGCCACATTCTTCCTCCACTTTAGACTACTTATAAACTTAATACAATGTAACTCGGGAGGTTGAGGTCAGCCTGAACTACAAAGGAAGACCCTGACTCAAAAAAAATTTTTTTAAACTTAATACAATGTAAATGCTATGTAGTTATTGCAATCCATAGTTTAGGGAATGACAGATACAACACCCACCCCTAGATGTTTCTGATCTACTCCTGGCTCAATCTATGAATGTGGCACTCAGGGATGAGGGCCAACTATATCTATGATCTGACTTATAACTGCCTTGCTGAGCTCTGGGTTAAACACTTAGCCTCAGGGCCACCAGTGAGTTAGGACTAAACCAGTCCTGAAACCCAGGCCCTCAGGCTCGGCTTACATAACCTTCAGCAACTAAGGTTTATCTGGTGATTTACAGGGAACACTCAGAACAGAATTTCAGCTATGGTATTCGATCATTTCTAAGCAACACATTTTTTTTTCCTAAGCAAAACATTTCTCTAAGAGGGTTCTCACTATGTTGTCCAGGCTGGTCTTGAACTCTAGGCCTCAGTTTCCAAAGGAGCTGGAAACACAGGTGGGTGTCACTGAGTCTGGCTCATGTTTTAACAAAACTGGAGTGGTGTCAAGCAAGCTGATGTTTTTTCCCCTTGGTATGAAGAAAAGACTGAGAGGATGAAAAAGGACAATCGACCAATGGAACAGACTCAATGAAATAGAGCAAGAAGCCCTAGAGATGTGAGTGTTCCCAGTAAGACACAGAAGGTTCTGATCCACACTTCACCCCTGGCAGCCCAGGAATGCTCTCCCAGGCATCCAGCCCACAGAAGAAACTCACCCTGCGGTTATGGTTGTGGTCCACAGAGTGCAGGTGCCGCTGGAGGAGCTGGTGCTGTGCGGGAATCAGCATGTCACAGGCCAGGCAGTGCGCAGCCTCAATCTTCTTGAAGAAATGCTCTTGGCCAATCCCTACAACAGAACCCAAGCAAGTGATGGCTCCTTCCTCTTCCCCAGCAAGGCCCACATTTTCTCCCTGCAACTCTGCTGTTGTTGTTTCTTGACAGGGTCTTGCTATGTAGTTCAGGTTGGCCCTATACTCACTATGTAGCCCAGTCTGTCTTTGAGCCCTCATGCCTCAGCCTCTTAAGTGCTGGATCACAGGCATGTACTACCACACCCAGATCTCCCTGCAACCCTAAGGGTTCAGTTTGGACAGAATATGAGACAGGCATAGCCTACCTCTACACCTGAGAATTTTACATGTTAACTTTTGTCATCCTTCCAGTCCTCACTTCATACCAAGGAGGAAAAAACCCAGCTTGTTTGACATCACTCTCATAAGCTCCTCATGGAGCCTGATCTCCATTAGGCCATGCCCAGGGCTTTTTCCCATAGGACTTGACCTCACACATTCCCTGCAGCCCTGCCTGAGCCAGGAATGGAACCCAGGGCTTCATGCATACTAGGCAAGCACTCTACGACAGCCATGACCGCAGCCCTTTTGAGCCAGGTCTCGCTAATTTGCCCAGGCTGGCCTTGAACTTGTGATCTTTTTGCGTAAGTAACTGAGATTGCAGGTGTGCACCACCACGTCCAGCTGCACTGAGTTTCCAGGGTCCTGCCAATGCCTCGTGATCATCCAGAATAACCTATACCATGGAACTGCAATTTACCTTTGAAAGGGTCTGGCTTTGGTTTCGGGCTCTCCTTTTCCATCAACTCCTGTCGCCGCTTCTCAATTTTTTTATTCCTGTTTATGATGTACTCCTAGAAGGTGAGAGACAGCACCAAGTAAAATGAGAGGACACTGTCTCTGGGTGTTTCCCAATTGCTCACAGGCCTGTAAGATGCCAATGGAGCAGCTCTATGGGTACAAATCCCAGAGCTCTGAGTTCTCCTTCTGTGACTTGGGGACTTGTACAGCTGTTTATCCGGGAAAAGAAGCTCTGGCCACCTTGAAACCTCTCACCTTTCCTTTTCCTTCTCTGCAAAGGGTCACCAGGAAACTCTGTAGCAAAGGCCAAGTGTCCCTTACCTGGAGGAACTCCACTGTCTTGTCAGGCAGTTTGGTGCTTATAAACCGCAGCGTCTCTTTGTGAAATTTGCTCTGCAGATGCTTCTGGATTTCTTCATCTTCAAAGCTACGGAACTTGCACACAGAACAGGCAAACTGAATCCTGGAGAAGGAAAATGGACAAAAAAGCAGTGAGGTGGGGATACAACCCATGCCGGAGTACAGCTGAAATGGAAAAGGAAATGTGATTTCTTTGCTGTCTTTTTTTTTACGTAAGGTCTCAATATGTAGTTCAGGGTAGCCTCAAACTCAAGGCACTCTTCTTGGCTCAGTCTCACCAGTGCTGGGATTACAGGTGTGTGCCTCTGAGCCTGGCCTCAGGAAATGACTTCTGAACTAGTGGCAAGACTTGTAACTTTTAGCAGGGGGGCACAGCAGCAGTTACCCAAGCATCTGAAGAACAGAACACAGCCCTGAAAGTATTTTAGGAAAATGACTCATGTACTAACTCAGCGACATTCCAGTCTCTTTGGCACAAAGGCCCCTAACTGAATATCCTAAGGTAGTGACTTTTTGTACTTGTGGACTCCCCAAGATCCAACTGACTACTACTTAGCTTCTCAGGTGAGTCCGTCTACAGCCATGGGGACGATATATAGCAAGCTCATTTCATGTGAAGGAAAAATTCCTGAAGATCTCACACAATTCAAAGCTCATATAACCCAAGATCAGTTCTCCCACAGACCCAGTATAAAGAAAGAAGATATCAAGTTCTACAGGGAAGATGAGCCTTCTTTGTTGTGATTCCCAGGTCTCACCAAATGCAATCAGGTTGCATAACAAGATAGCGGCTTGTAGTACCCTGCCCCACCCCAGCCCCCAAACAGGATGCCCCTTCCCTGGTGACTCCAGCCCTTCTGGGGTTGAGGATGCAGGTCCTGTAGCACTCAAGATCCCATTGCTGCCAACTGCTGGCTCCCAGCACCTGGCTCAGTTTTGTTTTAGCAGTGGTGGGGACTGAACACAGGGCCTCTTGGATGCTAAGTAAGTGCTCTGCCACTTAGCTACACCCCAGCCCCAACACCCTGCTCTGATGTGACTAGCATCCTGGGATGCTTTTGCTTTGGCAGACATGCCCCAACAGAGGAGTGAAGAGAATAGGAGGGTCTGTGCACAGGGCTTTCAGGAAGACCCATGGGCAAAGGATTCACCTCGCCCTGCTGCATTTCACCTCCCCTATGACAATCTAAGTCCTTCTGAGATCCTCAGTCACTAATGCAAAGTCTGAAGATGTCTTTAAGAAAAGAAAGAGCCAGACCCAGGGATTTAGCCCAGCAGTGCCTTGCTTGGCAAGCAAAAGGTCCTGAGTTCTATTCCTGGTACTAGAAAAAAAAAAAGAAAAAAAAGAAAAAGAGCCAGGTGTGGTGGTGCATGACTGTAATCCCAAGGAGGGTGAGGCAGGAAGATTGCTAAGAGTTTGAGGCTAGTCTGGGCTATTTACTGAGTTCAAGCCCAGCCTGAATTACAAAGAAAAACCTTGTCTCAAAAAAACCAACCAAACAAACAAAAAAAAACGTCATTGAGCTGAGGGGTATAGGTTAGTGGTAGAGTGCTCCCTTAGCATGGACGAGGCCCTGGGTCTATCACCAGTGCTGCAAAAATAAATCAGTCAAGGCATGTGTTTCCATGTAGTATGAATATAGACCTAACTCACCTATCATTTACCTGTTGAAAAACAAGTTTTTGTGGGGTTTTTTTGGTACCGGGGATCGAATTCGGGTCCTTGCGCTTGTGGGGCAGGCGCCGGAACCACTGAGCTAAATCCCCGGCCCCTGAAAAACAAGTTTTGATGACTTTTCACTTAGGAAAAATAAACCTGTTTCCTGGTTTCCCAAAATCTACTGCTAGCACTTTTTTTAATGCAGTACTGGGGACTGAACCCAAGGCCTCCGCAGGGAGCTCCATCCCCTGCCTTTTCACATTTTGAGGCAGGGTCTTGCTAAGTCACTAAATTGCCCAGGCTGGGCTCAAACTTCAATTCTGCCTCAGCCTCTGAAGAGTGCTGGGATTGCAGGAGTGTGCCATCATGCCCAGCTGTTAGTGCTTTTGCTGAGTATTTCTACACACATGAAAACCACTATCCCACCTGAGCCTTAAGGTGGAGGACTTCCCTGAAAGTAACAAAAAAGGAACTTTGCAAACAACTGTGTGGTTGAGGCCTAAAACCATGTGACCACATGGCCACCATGACTACACAGAAGACCCTCAATCACAGAACCATGGTGTGGTCACTGTGACACCTTTGGGCTTGGTCTTTTTTAATGCTTTTTGCTTCTTGCAGCACTAGAGATTGAACCCAGGGGTACTTCTAATTTCCATGTCTCCCGTCCACCCACTTTTTTTTTTTTATCAGGTCTTGGAATGCTGTTAAATTGCCTGGGTGGGACTCAAATTTTGATCCTCCTCCTCCCTAAGTGCTGGGATTACAGGCATGGCCACTTTGCCCAGCCTTTTTGTATTCTTATTCTATTTCCAACGTCTAGATGATAGAGCCATCTACACATTTTCTCCCTATGTTGAACTCCAGAAATGGTGTGGACTTGGACAGGGCACCAAGGCACTTTTTAAATACGTTTTAGGGTGCGGAACACCAAATTTGGGGACAGGACACCCCTTTGGCCTGAGGGGGAAGGGAGGTGGGTATGTACGGGCCACAAAAAGGCACCACCAAGGCTACAATTCTAGAGGCCAAAAGTCAGCCACAGAAATCAATTTTTCAAGCAGGAGCAGAAACCTAACTTCACCCATTTTCCCCCACTCTCACCCATTTTCCCCTACTCTAACTCTCCCAGGCTTCATCCTAAAAAAACCGGCTAAGATTTCCTGACGCCTAGAGCCAGATCAAACCAGGCTCCCCTGCACTGAATACAGGTGGGCTCAGAAGAGCCTGCACAATGCCCATGTCCCATCCCCTTCAGTGGGGGTTTTGTGCCCACTTTTCACCTCTGAATGCACCACTAGTTCCTCCTCACCTGTCAGCTGCTCGGTCCCGCATCCTGTCTCTCCTCCTTTGCTTTTCCCGTCTCTTCTTCACTTCCTCATCCTCATCATCCTTCTCTCCTGTAACAGAAAAGTCCCTTCAAGATGCTCTGAGGGGCCGGCAGAGACACTAGCTCCAGAGCCTCATGGGCTGCAGCTTGGCTGCCGCACCCTGTGCCTGCCCTCCACTTCCACAGCATGGCAGGTCCAGGAACCCCCAAGGAATTGAGGGATATCAAAGGCTCCTGATGGACAAGAGCCTTTGCTGAGGACCCAGAGGAGTCACCTCACTCCTGCGGCTGGCAGGATGGGATGGGCCTGCCCATCCCACTGACACGGCCAGCCTGCTGTGCTGCCCCAGCCTGGCTGCCCATTCTGGTGCCCTGTCACTGAGTCTTCTCCCACTGTCATTTAAGGAGAGCAGTTCTCTCCAGACCAAGGCAACAGCTGGGAGGCTCAAAAAAGAAAGCAAGCCGCTCTACCGCCCTCTTTCCCCACCTCCTGGTGGGCCACGATGACAGTCCCCGTCGGCCTTGTCTGAGCTAGGGCCCCAGCAGGATTAACAGTCCTTGCTGGCCCATCCTCTATCTTCTGTGCACAAAAACTGCCAACCTAGGGCTTTCCGCTTTCCCAGGCTGCATGGGAAGCAATCCTGGAAACAAAAATGGGAAGAGACCAGCTGGTCCTCCCATGGGCCCCCTGGGGCCAGCGCAGGAGCTCCTGGCAGAGCCATGCGGCCAGCATCCCAGTATGAGGCCAGGCCAGGACCTAAGGCCTGGGCCGAAGGCTGGATGCTGAAAAACGTTGGATAAGCATCTGAACTGTGACCCCTACCCCTGAAGCCAGTCCCGAGACTGTCCCACGAAGATGGCGACCGGCGGGCGCTGCTCAGAAGCCTCTCAAAAGGGCGTGTGGGACTTTTGGCAAGAGGTCACTGCCTGAAACTATGACTGCTGTTTAATAGCAAAGTCATCCCCGGTAGGTAGCAGGACCTGTGCGCAACAAACACGTCACCTTTGCTTTAGCATTTACCCGGCTGCACGAGCTGCTGAACACTTGGTGTAGTCCTGCACTACAGACACAGCTGCTCCGGTATGTCGGGGGAGGGGGGCCTCAGAAGGTTGGCTAGGCCAAGGGCCTTCACCACCAATGGACACAGGGCCAGCCTGGGATCCTTGGTGTAACCAGCTACAGACCGACCCAGGGAACGGAGGGCAGAAATTATGGCTGTTGGGAGAGCCCAAGGCAACTGTGGCCCAGGCTGCTTCTCCAGGTCTCTCCAAAGAGTATGACCTTGCTCTCTCTTACTGCTTGCCTTGGGCTTTTGGGTCAGACTCCTGCCCTGGAACTCATGAGAGCTACAGTGATGGCTTCTCTCTTGAGATATGAGCCTGGGTCCACCTGACAGGCTGCCCTTACTACTGCATTCCCAAGCCCTGTGAGTGTCTGCTGCCCCACTCCTGCATGTACTGCAGCTGCCAAGAGCCCCGGCATGGAGGTGGAGGGCACAGTGCTGGGGTGGCAATGGGGGAAACTGGACACAATGAAGCCCAGGAGAAGGGACAGAGAAGACGGGGGTGGGGTGGGGGTGGTCATTGTCTCTCTCAGGTTTCTGAGATGTTTCCTTCCCTACCACAAGTGTCACAGACATCCAGAAATACCTCACCCACCCCGAGCCTGCACTGAGTGAGGCAAATGGGCTCATTTCCAGCAAATGCTGCCTCAGGCACTGAGGCAAAGCCTGGGGATGATCACCATGACCTAGATGACCTAGGCCCACCCAGCAGCCACAGCCCCTCTTCTGTCCCAAGCGATGAGCTCTATGCAGGCCCCAGCTGGCTCAAAAGCCCACCCTGGCTGGAAGCTGGGACAGACACACAAAAGCTGTAGGGACACTAGGTGATGCCTACCTCTCTGCCTCCCAGCATTGCAGAATTCATCCTCCTGGAAAAGGGCACAGGAAAAGTCAGACAATGAGGTATTTCCATAATTTCCCACAGCCAGTCCAGCCCCTTCCCACTGTTTGGTGTGTGGCATCTCCTCCAAGACCTAGGATTTGAGGCCTTCAGAAAATAGGCACTGTGGGGAGGACAAGCCTGAGGGCCTCAACCTGGAGCCTGAGTGTTCTATTACTACTTCTGGTTCCCTTTAAAGACCATGATAATGACTTTTTTTTGGTCTTTAAGCCACTAACCTTTTTTTAATTCTCTCTACTGTTTAAGAATTTGCCCCCTGAGAAATGCATACCCAGTTCTGTATCCCAGACTGCCAGGAACCCACCCATCAATGGAAGGTTAAGAAGCTCTGATTTGTGTGATGCTAATTCTGCCCTTTTTTTTGGTACCAGGGATCGAACTCGGGTCCTTGAACTTCTGGGGCAGACGGTGGAACCACTCAGCTAAACCCCTAGCCCCTTAGTTTTGGTTTTTTGAGACAGGATCTTGCTATGTAGTTCAGGCTGGCCCTGAACTCACTATGTAGCCCAGGCTGGCCTCAAGCTTTTGGTGATCATTCTGCCTCAGCCTCCCAAGTGCTGGGATTATAAGCACGTGCCACCACGCCCAGCTATTCCACCATTCTTGACTGAAAATGGGCTTTACCAAATATATTCAAGTGTTCTTAACAAAAGAGGTATGGAAAGACAAGATTCCTAACTGAAACTCTGAACAGAGCCAATGCCTTAGGCAGCAAGCCCAAAATTAAATTAACAATCAGATTTTTAGATTTCTAGTCTGAACAATAAGCCATGGACTCACTTGGAGCTCATGTGTGTATCCCCCAAGCCAGATGAATGGGGAGCAAGAGTGAGACGTTGTTGCTTCTTCACTCTCCCTGCCCCACCATCTGTCTGGCCATCAAAAGTACCTGGGAGATGGGGCCGGGGATTTAGCTCAGTGGTTTTGCCACCTGCTGCGCAAGCCCGAGGACCAGAGTTCAATCCCCGGTACCAAAAAAAAAAAAAAGGACCTCGGAGCAGCCTTCTCAGGCCCCTGGGGTCTCCAGGCCCTCCCCCCCTGCATGGGTCAGCATCTACAGACACCAGGGAAGGCAACCTCCCCAGATGTGTGGTGTGGTTCCCATTAAGAACTCGGCAGACCCTGCTTTTTACACAGGGCACAAGGACTGAAGGATGAGGACACAAGCCAGCTGCATCTGGCACACAGCTGGCAGCCAATGAGCCTCTGGTACATGTCTGTCAGACTGCATTTATCACACAAGTGGCCAGGCCCAACACTACAAGGACACAGGAGAGGCCAGGGAAGGTGCTGGAACTTTTTTTAGGAAAAGAAAGATTGTTGCAGTTGAAACACTTAGCAATCTAGCTACAAGTTAGTGTACCAAATCCACTCAGAGATGTATAGAATGGAGCCTACTAGGGTAACTGCTCCCACCTTTGTGAGAATGAGCAATAAAGTAAGTAAGAAGGCCCTCAGAGCCCAAAGGGGCTGACCCATAAGGTGAACTTACACCCCGAAATTCTTCATCTCCTGACCGGAAGTCACCAGCTCCATCATCTGCCAGATACAAGGGAATAGAAAAAATCAGTCCCTGGGCAGGTGGACCCATTCCATTCTGCTCTCAAGCAGTGACCTGAGTGACAGCCTGTCCTGATCACAGTAGGAGCCAAGGGACAATGGGAAAAGCCACCCAAATAACTATGTGCACACAGTTGGGCAGGGCAGGGAGCACTCCAGGCAGAGAACGGACTCATCTCACACCCACCCAGCCTGCTGGGCCCCAAATGTACCATTGTCTGAAAAATCGCCTTCGCTGTCAACACGGGCCAGCTTGGTGTCCGGCTCCTCAAACATAGGAAACTGCTTCCGCTTCCTGCCCACACTGTCTGGTCCGAAGCGGTCAAACCCTCTCCTCCTGGGCTATAGATACAAGCACATCCCATGTACCACTTCCCTGGGCCATTAAGATACCCCACAGAAGTAAAGAACAGAGAATTTGCAAGATCAGAGAACAAACAAAGGAAAAGGCCTTTTCAAAAAGCTAAGAGATAGGGCCAGGGATTTAGCTCACTAGTTTTGCCGCCTGCTGCACAAGCGCAAGGACCCAAGTTCGATCTCCAGTACCAAAAAAAAGCTAAGAGACAACATAAATTAAAAATTTAAAAATGCCATGCTCAGTGAATGAAGCCAGATGTAAAAGGCCACATGTGCGATTCTACTGATACGAAAATGTCTAGAAGAGGCAAAACCAGAGACAGAAAGGAGATGAGTGGTTGTCTGGGCCCGGCAGAGGGAACAGGGAAAGACTGCTGCTAACTGGTACATTTCTTTCTGGGTTGATGGAAATGTACTAAAACTACATTGTGGTGATGATGGCACAATTCCATAAACTTGGTAAAAGTGGAACCCTAACTTAAAAATTGGTATGTCTTACAGCATATAAATTTTACCTCAACAGAGCAAGTTGTTGAGAGGAAAAGCCAAGGCGGCCTACTGAACACTGTGGGTACTTACCCGCTCTCTCATCCGAATCTGTGATCGGCCACATCCATAAGGCATGGTGTTGTCATATCCACCCGTGCCCTGCATACCCATCATGCCATAGTCAGGAGCCATGGACTGGGAGAAGAGGGAAGGAGGCGGCCTGCTCGGGGAGGGTCCTCCCAAGCCTCGTCCACCTATGTAGTTTAGCTCATTCCAGGAAGTGGACAGGGGCTCAGAGGAGGCCTGGGGTGGCATGAAGGGGTCACTGCGCATGAAGGTGCTAGAACTGCTCCGGTCCTGGAAGCGACCTGGTCCCGGGCCCGGGCCTTGGCTCTGACCCCGGCCTCGCATGAAGCCATCAAGGGAGCCTCGCTCTCGGGCTGGGTCCCGGCAGTCATTGTACTGCCCAACAAAGCTGCCATTGCGGTCAGTCCCCAGGTCAAAGTCATAGTCATAGTTGTAGCCAGGGCGGTAGGGATTGTGTTCTGGCAAGCAAGGCCTGGAATTGTAGGACTCATATGGCTGGAAGCGGAAGGAGCTACAAAGAAAGTAAAACTCATCAATGCTCAGAAGGCAAAGCAAACGAACACCCCCTTCAAACATCACTGAACAAAGGTCATGGAGCCTTTGGCCAAGAGAACCTGGAACAGCAGGATACAGAAATAAGAAATCCCAGGCAACTCAGTCCGTAGCCCAACCCCCCACTTAGGAAACCAGCAACTTAGGGAACTGCAATGGTCTGCCCTCCGCCCCAAATGGGCCAGCTCATCCTGCCGCACTCAGGAAAGACAAGGAGGAGCAGGTGCCATCCCATCTACAGAAAGCTGTGCTGACAGGGGTCCCCAGGGAAGGGTTCAGATCCATAATCACCTCTCCCGGTCCTGCATGCCCTCCCCACCGCTGCCGCTCCCGCCCCTGCCTCCTTCCTTGGACATCATGTCCAAGCGCTGGTTGATCTTGGCAATGAGAGAGTCTGAATTGTCACTGCATGGTTCTGGACCATAAGAGGCCATGTGCATGGAAGGGCCCCCAGCTGCCAGGCCACCATCACTGGCCTTGGTGGCCTCCCATGAAGCTGGGCCATAGCTGTAGGTTGCTCCTGCAGTGACGTTGGTGTTCTGGGTACCATAATAATTGTAGTTGTCATAACCTGTCAGAGAGAAAAGGAGGTCAGACCTCATCAGCCATAAAGCTGATCTAGGAAGATGCATATGCATAGTACCCACTATCCACTGAAAAGGACAAAGTTCACAGCACCAAGTGCGGCTGGCATACACACTGTGCACATGATCTGTCAGGAGGCAAGAAGAGGAGGCCAGAGGGACAGGAGGCCTCAGCTCTCAGCAGCAAGTTTCCTGGGAAAGACCTTATAACTTATTTCCTCATTCCAAACCAGAGCTGGCTGAGCACCCTGGGAACAGCAGCACAGGCTGCTGACAGACCCATCTGAGAGCTCCCGCTCTTGCAGACACAACCACAATCCTTTTTAAACAAGTTCTTGAGGTTGGTGGAGCCCTGGCTCCCCTCAGCAACTTGCGCTCAAACAGCGGTAAGGGCCAGCCTTTACTCATGAAAAGAGCCAAGAAATCCACACAAACTTCCCTTTCTGCCCTTCCATCTTCAAGAGAGCTGCAAGCCATCAGACTAGGGTAGGGACGGCTATACAGAGCCCAGTGCATACCTGCATGCCCTCAGAAGGGCTTACCTTGCCAGCTGGCCACACCACTTCCATATGTACCTGGAGAAAACAAAAACAGGCAAAAACTTTACGGGCAGAACAAGAGTGCCTGAAACACCCCTGGAGAGACAGGTACCACTTGGCTCCAGAGGAGCCAGGACAGCCATGGCCACAGCAGTGCTCAGGAAGCACCCTTAGTTGCCTCTCGCTGTGCTTACTTCCTACACTATGGGGGCCAAGCACCTTCAGGGTTTCCTCCAAGGTGAGGCTAGTTTCCTCCGTGACAGTGGGAAAAGGAAGTGGTACCCTCCCAGGAAGCTGGCTGGCTGTGGAATGCCAGCTGGGAGGCCAGCCTAGCTGAGGCCCCAGGCAAAACCCTTATAAAGTATCAGTGCTCACCAGAAGCCAGAGCCCAGGCACTGCCAACCACAACAACAAGGCAGCAGAGGAAACTCGCGTCCTCAACTCAACTAAGCAGAGGACATTATATGCCACGAGTAACCTGAGAGGCTTCCTCCAGTGACACAGTGATGGGCTGAGCAGTGGCCCTGCTCCCAGTGGTACTAGGGGCAGGTCCTAGGCTCATAAAAGAAAAGAAGCCATCATCTCCTAAAACAGTGGCTAGCCTGGCATGGTGGCACAGGCCTATAATCCCAGCACTGGGAAGGCTGAGGCAGGACCGCTGTGTGTTTGGGTCCAGCATGGAATACATAGTGAGTTAAAGGCCAGCCTGAACTACATAACGAGACTGTGTCTCAAAAAAAGGGGGGGGGGCCAGGGATTTAGCTCAGTGGTTCCACCGCCTGCCTCACAAGTGCAAGGTTCTGAGTTTGATCCCCAGTACTGGAAGAGGAAAAAAAAAAAAGAAAGAAAGAAAGAAAAAAAAAAAAAAGCTGAACAGTGGCTGGCAGAAAGCAAAAACAAAACAAAACAGAACAAAACACTCGCCACCAGAAAGCACTTTCCAGTCTTCCAAACAAGGTTAAATGCCCTGTCTGGACTCTAGGGCAGAGATCAGCAAAAGCTCCAGGCCACATCTAGCTCACAGGCTGTTTTTGTACAGCCCTCAAGCTAAGAGTGGGTTTGACATTTCTAAATAGAGAAAAAAGCATCCAAAAGTACACATTACAATGTATACATCATGCACAGAATTCTGTGTACCACCTGAATTCTTTAAAACTGTCCTAAAAAGTGTATTACAGAAAAAACTGTGTTTGTACTCGCAAATATTTATCTACAGAAAAAAAAAAAAACTGCCAGGACAGACTACTTCATGACACATGAAAACTGTAATAGTCAGACTTTAGTGTGCATAAATATTTGCACATCACTGTCTACTTTATATTACCTATGGCTGACTTTGTACTATGGAAACTATACAGCCTGTAAAGCTGAAGACATCTACTATCTGACCCAGTACAGGAAAAATCTGCTGTCCCTTGTCTTGGTACTGCCATGCTAGGGCCCTCGGTAGGGGAAGCCAATCCCTTATCCATGACTCAGGTCTCACTTACCCTGGGTGTTGGCAGGTCCAGCACTCCAGGCCCCATAGCCTGCAAGAAGATGATGCTGTGTGTCAAGATCCTGTTCAACACACTAAAGAATGGGGCTTTTGAGGTACTGGAAGATTAAAGGGATCTCCTCACAAGCATTCAATGCCCGCCTTACAAGAAGGCAGCATAAACCAGCAATGCCTTCTCTCTAAAAGTTACTCCTCACTTGCTAATTGCATTATCTCCACCAGGCTGGGTTCAAAGCTGAAGAGGGGAGGGAACTGGGCTTGGAAGTCAGTTCTGTCCATCACCTGCTGAGGGACCTTGGCAGACAACCTCCCCTCTCCAAGACTCAATCCACAAACTGCAAATGACACAGATAGGACAGGGTCCCCCAACCTTATGGCCCCCACAGCTGGAAAACCAGCTCGGATTGCCACCGGAGATACCCCATAACTGGGAACAAACTTGGGAATTTGGTGACATAAACTGTGGTCCTTTGGATTTCACTTCCAAGTGACTTTTGGGGGGGGGGTACCGGGGATCGAACTCGGGTCCTTGTGCTTGTGAAGCAGGTGGTGGAACCACTGAGCTAAATCCCCGGCCCCCAAGTGACTTTTAAACCCTCCAATTACTCTCTGAGCCTTCAAGTCCCAGAGCATTACTCAGCTTGGCCCTAAGGCACCAGACTGCCCTCCTGTCCCTCTAACCAGGAGGGTGCAAACCATACTTTTAAAATTTGTGTCCCTAGAGCCCAGCTGACTATTTCAATGAGGCCAGGATGTGGTCTCATCTCTCTCATCGAAACTGAATGACCAACCAACAAATGTTCCTGACTGCTACTCAGAGATGAGAGAGCAAAGGCTCACAAGTTACGGGGACTTGATCCATGGTCCTACTGTGACTGACATTAGCCCTCTGATCATCTCTGAAGGTTATACCCTTGCCATTGGTACAGCAAAAAAATAGAAAGCAAATTCAAACAAGTGACCAAGCAACCTTGGGGCTTCCATGTGAGGCACTAATCTAGTCACTTAATCTCAAAACATTTTTTGAGGCAGCCGTTTCCTAAAGGTTTCAGGAGGTAGGAAGTGGGGTACTGCAACCCTCTAAGAGTACAACAGGAGGATTCCCGCAAAAAATACCTGATAGAAAAACAAAGAATGGAAGATCTAGCCAGATTCTGAAAGCCCAGAAGAGCCAGGCTGTCTCCCCCTAGAGCTCTGCAGACACCCAACCACAGGCTGCAGGGCTCTTCCTCAGCAATTCCCCTTAAAGGAGATCCTGGCACTTCTCAAGATCCAGGCCTTACTGGTGATATCGGAGCACACCAGTAAGTCCAGCACTCTAGGAGGCTGAGGCAGGAGGATCCCAAGTTTAAGCACAGCCTGGGCAACTTAACAACTGAGAGCCTGTCTTACAAATTTTAAAAAGGGATAGAGATGTTACTCAGTGTGAAGGGCCTGAGTTCAATCCCCAGAACGGGAAAGGGGAGGAAGAGGGAGATCCAGGCCTTCCCCAGGAACTGTACCCAGGATCAGACCACCAACTTCTTCTATGTCCTGCGGAGCCCCATCTCGTAGGTTAATCGTTCCCTTCGGGCCAATTGTAGCTTTCAGCTCAGGGCAAGGTCTCCAAGGAGGGTGGAACTCCAGAGACAGGAAGTAGGCAGGCCCAACAGCAAGCAGGCCGTGGAGCCAAGTGGGAAATGGACAAGGTGCCTGCTATACCGCCCCTTAGCTCCTCTACGCCACCGTAAGAGGGGACCTGAAGAGGAACAGCCAGTCTGTCATCTAAACCGGAATACATCAGGTTTCCAACTTCGAACGAGAAAACACTTAATATCTGGCCGTCTCGTCGTACGCCGTCGTCTCTACAGACCACCGCCAGCACGCGTGGGCACACAGCAGGTGGGCTGACGGTTGGCTTCTGGGACGGTCGCCCCGGGCCAAGGGCGCCAACCGCGAACCCTGCAGAGCCCCCAAGGCCCAGCCAACACCCAGAAAGGGAGTCAGCGCCCCGAGCCCCGATCTCGGTGGCGGACCCCAGCCGCGCGCTGAGGCTCCGCCTCCCCGCGCCGCCATTTTGTGGAGTCCTCAGAAAAGCAAGGCGGGACAGCGAACGCCGAGGTCGCCAGCGCCGGGGCCGGCCGAGCTCCGCCAACTTTTCGGTTTCGGGACTGTGATGGCCCGGACCGCCCGAGGAGCCCCCCGAACCGCACTGTAGTGCTCAGCTCCGCCTGCCTCCTCGGGTCCTGCCGCCCAATCCGCTTGCGGTGCCCGGGGAGCTACCGCGCCGAGCCCGCCTCTCCACAGGGCCGCTCTGCAGCTACCAAGCCGTAGCTGAAAGCCCAGGGATGCAGAACCCGCGGCAGCGGCTTCCTCTCCCAGACCGCACCTTCCCACACCGCACCGAAGAGCTCGTACTGACCTCCGTAGCCCTGCTCCATGTTTCCGACGTAGCCCGCCCGCCGACCCTTTTTCTAGCCTTCCAAAGGACGCATGCGTTCAACGTACCTTCCGGCGTCCACTACTGGAAGACTAGATGCGCGCGTCACTCCTCCTGTACGCTCCCATTGGCCGCCTTTTGCACAGGTCCCGCCCTACCACTCCATCTACTTTCTGGGTCGCTCAGGACCAGCACCCGCAGCATCTCGGGAGTCGCGGTGCCAAAGACGACGCCGCGCAGGCGCATTCCGGCCTCCCCACCTGTGCGCAGGCGCGCCACTCCCTCCGCAGACACATGGACGCGAGATGGAAGGAAAAAACTTTATTTGACTGAATTTCCAGCCCCGGCCCCGCAGGCCCTGCACGCCCCACGCACGGGTTACGGGGCGCCCCCGCCGCCTTCCTCGTCGTCCTCCACGTCGAGGCCCGGGATGCCGCGGATCTGCCGCTGCAGCGCCCCGCCCAGCAGGGGCAAGGCGCCCTCCTCTTCCTCCTCGGGAGGCGGCGGGGGTGGCGGAGACGCAGTCTCGGGTGCCGGCTCTGGAGGAACAGGGGGCGGCGCTGGGGCTCCCTCGGCCCCCTCGGCGGTCCCCGTTGCGACCCCAGCCATTTCGCCAGACGCTGCTTCGTCCAAAGCACCGCCCTCCGCCTCCTCCTGCTCCTTCTCCTCCTCGGGGCTGTCTGTGAAAGGGTTCTCGCCCTGCAAGGAATGGGGGTGGCAGTGATGGGCGAGAGGATTCGAGGGGACTGGGAAGGACAGGGGCGGGGTCTGCTCCTTCCCTCACCTTAAGGTAGCGCTCCAGCTTTTTGCTGATGAGCTTGTTGTTGAGGATACTGCGGGCCACCATGAGCGAGGATTTCTTGGACTGCTCCATCATGAGCTGCAGGCAGGGCAGGCAGGGCTGCAGAAGCTGCTCCAGGAGCTGGGGCCAGCCCACCCGACCGGACCCAACCCCCTCCAGATCGCCCTCAGCTCTGCAGTCACATCCAGCCAGAGTGAGGCAGGCAGTGAGGCCACTCCATAAGCATGGAAATACGACCTGGTCTGATCTTTTTTGTTCAAATGCTCCGTCCTTTCATACTTACTGTGTGGCTAAAGATAGATAGAGATATGCATATATGACAGCTATTAAGCCGGGCTTGGAGGCACATGCCTGTAATCCCAGCACTCAAGGAGGGTGAGGCAGGAGGATTGAAAGCAAGTCGGAGCCCAGCCTGAGCAATTAAGGGAAAATCTTGTCTCAAAAAAGGGCTGAAGGGCCGCGGATTTAGCTCAGTGGTTCCGGCGCCTGCCTCGAAAGCTCAGGGTCCCGAGTTTGATTCCCGGTACCAAAAAAGAAAAAAAAAGGGGGGGGGGTGCTGAGTATGTGGCTCAGGATGAAGATCCTGGATTCAATCCCGGTACCACAAAAAGAAAAAAGAACTATTTTTAAAAGCCAAATGTGCAACCCATAAGGAATCAACTGCCCTATCGTGCAAATAGCAATTTAGGATCAAGAGGGAGAATATTTAAAGACAGAAACACAGTCAAACAGTACATTTAAGAAAAATACGTCCTTTGAACCTGTAGGATTCAGGAAATGAAGAAATACTTGCAGCAGTGCGAAGACTGTAAAGAGACTTCTCTGTTGGTGGGATAACTCTTTACATGGTTTTTGGAAGGCAGTTTGATAATTTTCATCAGTAACTCCTATCCCTAAGTTTAAGATCTGTAAATACACATGCACACTGTGATTGTAGGGCTGAAAAAATTGGAAAGCACCTAAATGTTCTTCAATGGAGGAATGAAGAAATAAATCATACATTTGAAAGAACATAATTCAGTCACTAAAATCAAGCTTGTCTCTCTACTGGCATAGTAAGAAAAATGTAGCACAGCCAAGTGTGGTGGTGCACACCTATAGTCCCAGTGCTCTGACTACAAGTTCATGCCCATCTTGGGCAATTTAGCAACTGATCAAGACTCTGGCTCAAAATAAAAAATAAATTTAAACAAAAGGCTAGGAGCTGGGCATAGTGGCACACCCCTGTGATCCCAGGACTTGGGAGGCTGAGGCAAGACGAGTTTGAGGCCACTCTAGGCTACATACTGAGTTCAAAGCCAGCCTGAACTACATAGTGAGACCTTGACTCAAAAAACCAAACCAAAACAAAAAAAGGCTAGGGTTGTAGCTCAGTTGGAAGGCTCTGAATTCAATCCCCAGTACTAAAGAAAAAAAAATTGTGTGTGGAAAAATTTGTATACCATGCTCCAACTGTTTTGTCTGGAAGGATTTATACCAACTTTTTGGGTTATTTCCTCATGGTGGGAATCCTGGCAAATATCACTTTCATCATCATAAAGCCATAAGCAAAAAGAAGATAAGAATACTATTTTTGTTCCTCCAGGAACCCTAACTATTGAGCTCTAGTCAACCAGAGAAAGCCTCTCACTTGTCTTTACACCCTATCCCACATTTACTTCTCTTTCTCTACTACTTCGGCAGATATTAACTGATCTCATGGATGCTCATAAGTTACAGAGGCATACCATCAGGATGGACTACAGACCCCACTCAGCTACTGTTTTCCACTTGCCACCACATAAGCAAGCCTTCTCCTCCAGGTGCCCAGATAGGATATTACAAGCTCTCCCAACTGAGACGCATTAAGGTCGTTTCCAGATTTTCATCCCAATAACCAACAGAATAAAAGTATTTCCAGGCTGGTGCTTTTAATTCTAATCAAGCAGCCTCCCCAAAGTAACAGTGCCTGATTACACTGCAAAAGAAATTTTTTTTTTTTTTTGCAATTCATGCTTCCTCTGTGTTTATGGCTTGAGCCCAAGAGTTGGAGGTCAGGATGGGCAACATGGTGAGGCCAGGTCCCAGAAACAACAAAGAGCCAGGCATGATCCCAGCACTCTGGAGGCTGAGGAAAGAGGATCACTGCGAGTTTGAGGCCAACCTAGCTTACAAAGTGAATTCAAGGCCTGCCGGAGCTATACAATGAGACCCTATCTCAAAAAAACAAAACAAAACCCATCAGCATCAGGTGTTATCATTGTGGAGTATTTTTGTTACTTGCATAAAAATGAAGTGTATTGCCTCAAGCACACTTCTGTGCCCTACCAGCAATCCTCCTAAGGGTGCAGATCTGTAAGCTAGATTGTTTTCTACCTGCCAAGTGTTTCAAGGAGGTCAACTCCTCTTTGTCTTCTGGATTTCCTGGCTTGCTCAGGAAGGCTTGAATACTCAAAGTAGACAAATCGTATACATTTTTTCTTTGTTTTACATTTACATATTCTGGGAATTAATATATGGTATGAAGCAGAAATCCAACTTTCTTGTCCAGAAATTTATAAAGGAAGCTATTATAATTTTCTCTACTGAATTAAAATACAGACCCACGTTTCCTTATTTATAAATCTGAAATCCTAAAAGCTCTAGAAAACAAAAGTTTCCCCCCAAAACTCATTTGGTGGCAGAACGTAAGCCAATGTTACTTTTTTTTTTTTTTTTGGTACCAGGGATTGAACTCAAGTTCTTGCGCTTGCGCAGCAGGTGGGGAAACCACTGAGCTAAATCCCCAGCCCAAATGTTACATTTTTATATCATCTTTATTTATCCTACTTATACAGGTCACTTGAATTATTGATTATTCAAATATAAGGCACTAGGGCCAGGGATATAGCTCAGCAGAGCAGCACCTACCTGGCAAGCACAAGTCCCTGAGTTCGATTCCCAGTACAAAAAACAAAACAAAAAAACCCCTAAATATAAGGCACTTTTCCCAGATCCTGCTGGAGGTGAATGATCACATTGTAGATCTTTCTGAAACCCCCAAATTAATTCAGAAACCTCCAGACCTAAGGGCTTAGAAGTGACCTGTACTAATTTTAACAAATACTAAATTTGGGGGGGGGGTGGTACTGGGGATGGAACTCAGGACCTTGCGCTTGCGAGGCAGGCAGCAGCACCACTGAGCTAAATCTCTAGCCCAATTTCCTGTTGTTTTGGGGGTTTTTTTTGGTACCAGGGATCGAACTTGGGACCTTGAGCTTGCAAGGCAGGTGCCGGAACCACTGAGCTAAATCCCCAGCCCTCCTGTTGTTTTAAATTGCACTGGCTTTATAATGATTTTTTTTTGTGGGTGCCAAAAATCAAACCCAGGTCTTCAAGCATGCTAGGCAAGAGCTCTATCACCGAGTTATACCCTCAGCCTGTAACAAATTTTCTCTTAACTCATGACTGCATTTTGTGTAATTCTTTTGACTATTGTTAGACTTGCAAAATTTTGGCAGGCATAGAATTATTAATGCTATATCTAGGTACTTAGGTGTGGAAGATGTAAAACCTAGTAACAGCCAAGCATAGTGGGACATGCCTATCATCCCAGCACTATGGGAAGCTGAGGCAGGAGAACTGTGAATTCCAGCCCGGCCTGGGCAATTTAGCAACTTACAGAGAGAGCAAGCAAGTGAGCCTATCTCTTAAAAAAAAAAAAAAAAAGGTACCCTCAGAAACAGAGTAGAGAAGTGGTTACCAATGGTTGAGAAAGGCAGAAAAAGAGGCAAGGACATGTACAAGGCACAGCTGCACAGAGGAATAATTTCTAATGTTCTGTAGCATGGTAAGATAACTACTGTTGACAACTTACCTTTCAGAATAGCTAGTAGGATGGATTTTGAATGTTCACAACACAAAGAATACCTGAGGTGACAACTATGCCAATTACCCTGATCTGATCATTACATACTGTATTTAAGAAATGCAATATCACACTGTACCCCTTTATGTACAATTATATGTCAATTAAAAACAGAAAAGTACTTGAAAACTACAGTACTCTGAAAAAGGAGATTAAGAGGATATCAGAAAATGGAAACATATCCTTTCTTGGATAAGAAGAATCAATATAGTGAAAATGGCCATCCCAACAGCATATCTCACAGAATTAGAAAAAGCAATCCTAGTATTCATTTGGAACCAGAAGAGATCTACAGTAGCAAAGGCAATTCTGGGCAACAAAGGCAAGGCAGGGGGTGTCATGGTCCTTGAAATTATATTACAAAACTACCCTGAAAAAAAAACAGCATGGTACTGGCAAAAGAACAGACCTGAGGATCAATGGAACAGACTAGAGGATGCAGAAACAACTCTAGACATATTCAACCACCTTATCTTTGACAAAGGAACCAAACACCTTCATTGGAAGAAAGATAGCCTCTTTAATAAATGGTGCTGGAAAAACTGGCTTTCCACATGCCAAAGATTGAAACTAGACCCATATCTTTCACCACGTACTAATCTAAAATTGAAATGGATCAAAGATCTAAATATTAAAACAGAAACACTAAGGGGTCGGGGATTTAGCTCAGTGGTTCCATCACCTGCCTTGCAAGCGCAAGGTCCTGAGTTCAATCCACAGTACCAAAACAAAAACAAACCAGAAACACTAAATCTGCTGGAAGAGAGAATAGGTAGAATGCTTGAAGACATAGGAGTAGGCAAAGACTTCATGAACAAAACCCAGACCGCATGAGAAATACTACAAAGAATTAACAACTGGGACCTCATATTATTACAAAGCTTTTGCACAGCAAGAGAAACTACCAACAGAGTGAAGAGACAACCCACAGAGTGGGAAAATTTTTTTTACCAGCTACTCAGATAAAGAACTATTACCTAGAATATATAAAGAACTCAAAAAAAAGACCCCCCCCCCCGAAATTTAAAGACCCAATGCAAAACTGGGCATCTGAAATAAAAAGACATTTCTAAGATGAAAAGTTAGAAATGGCAAGTAAATATATGAAAAAATGTTCAACGTCACTGGTCAGTCATGAAATGCAAATGAAAACAATGCTGAAATTCCATCTCACCTCAGAAAGAACAGCTGCTATCAAGAAGTCAACCAATAACAAATGCTGGAGGGGTTGTGGGGAAAAAGGAACCCTTCTCCACTGCTGGTGGAGTGTAGACGGGGGCAACCACTGTGGAAATCAGTGTGGAGATTCCTCAAAAAATTAGAGGTCCCACTTGACCCAGCTATTCCCCTTCCAGGTACGTCCCTGAAAGAATTAAAAGTATCATGCCACAGCAATACATGCACATTCATGTCTATAGCAGCACAGTTTGTAATAGCGAAATCTTGGAAACAGCCCAAATGCCCATCAATTGCTGAGTGGATAAAGAAGATGTGGGGGTTTTTTTATACAAAGGTGTACTACGCTGCCACAAAGAAGGATGAGCTTCAGACATTATAGCTAAATGGATGGACCTTGAGACCATACTCTTAAGTGAAATAAGTAAGACACACATGTTTAAATACCACATTGTTTCTCTGGTGTGAGAAACCAAAAGTGGAAATAAGGACTGAAATGTATAATGGATGTTGGGAAATGGGAAGAAAATGTTCAAATGGAAAGGGGAACAAGGAAGGAGGGAGGGAGCGAGGAAGGAAGGGACAAGAAAAAAGTGAAAACAGAAGGAAAAAAATGGAAACAAAGCTTCTGTGCATAGGGAGGGGAGGGGGCTTGAGGGGGGAATGGGACAAAATAAAATAAATTTATTTACTTATTTATTTATTTGGTATCGGTGACTGAACTAGGGACTTTGTGCTTACCAGGCAAAAATTCCTCTGTATGTCTTATACACTTTACACACATAGCCTCAAGATAATTTTTATTTTTTTCGTACTGGGGATTGAACTCGGGACCTTGCGCTTG